TATGGCTGTATTTCAATAAAACTTTACTTATAAAAATTGTTGGTGGGCTGAATTTGGCCTGAGGACCATAGTTTGGCAAACTCTGAGCTATAATGACCAAGAAAGAAAGAAAAGGCACAAATGTCAAGAATAAAAAAAGATCGTACAGAGAGGAAAGGGATTATAAAGGATTGTGAACAATTTACACCAAATTAGACAACATAGGTGAAATAGAAAAATTCCTAGAACATCACAAATTATCCAAACAGATTCAAGAATAAGCAGAAACCCAAATAGCCCTATATTAAAAAAATTAACTTAATATAATAATTAAAAATCACCCTGCAAAGAAAAGTCTAGACCAAGATGGCTTCACTAATGAATTCTATCAAACATTTAAAGAATAATGCTAATCCTAACCATATTCTATTAGAAAATAGAGGAGGTGGGAATATTTCAAAACTCATTTTATGAGACCAGTATATACTGATAGAAAAGTGAGACAAAGACATCGTGAGAAAAGAAAGCTATAAAACAATATCCCTCATGAACAACACAAAAATATTTAACATGTTAGCAAACTGAATTCAGTAATACATAAGATGAAATTATATAACACAACTAAGAGGGGTTTATCACAGGAATAGGTAGTCTGACATCCAAACATCAATTAATATAACAACATATTAATAAAAAATGAATACCATGTGATCATCTTAATAGATGCAAAAAAGCATTTGACAAAACTCCAAAATCAATTTATAATTTAAAAAAACTCTCAAAAACTAAAAATAGAAAGGAATTTCCTCATTCTTATAAAGGAGATCAATGAAAAACTTACAGGTAACATCATGTTGATGGCAAAAGACTAAATTCTTTCCCACTAAATCCATAACAAGGCAAGGATATCGACTCTTTCTACAGATATTCAACACCACCCTGGAGGTTCTAGCCAGTGCAATAAGACAAAAAAAATGAAGGCTTAAAGATTTCAAAAGTACTGTTTTTATTTACAGATAACATCTTATATGTATCAAACCCTTAGGAATCTAAGAAAAAACCTATTGGTTTTTTTAACCTATTGGTTAAAGTGAGTTTAGCAAGATCACAGGATACAAAAACCAATATACAAAAAAAAACCACCTATTTCATTTCTATATACTAGCAATGAACAATTTTCAAATGAAATTAAGAAAGTAATCATGTACAATATTATCAAAACAAAATATTTAGGAATAAATTGTACAAAGTATAAAAGCTATACACAGAAGACAATAAAACATTGCTGAGAGTAATTAGATCTAATAAAATGGAGAGATATACCATGTTCATGGCTTGAGAGGTTCAATACTATTAAAATGGTAATTCTCCCCAAACCAACTCAATGTAATCCTTCTCAAAAATCCAAGCAGGCAGTTTTGTAATTATTGATAACTGATTCTAAACTTTATTTGCAAATGTAAAGAACACAGTATAGTAAAAAACTTATACACACACACACACACACACACAAACACTCACGTATATATATGATACAGGGCTTATACTATCAGATTTTAAAACTTACTATAAAATTATAGTAATCAGGACAGAGTGATATTGGTGTAAGGGTAGATTTATAGGTCAATGGAACAGAATACAGTCTAGAAATAAAAACACACATATATATGTTCAAGTAATTTTCAAATAAAGGTGTAAAGATAATTCATTGGGGAAAACAGTCTTTTCAACAAATGGTGCTGGAACAAATAGATATTGCAAGTAACAGAAAAAGAACTTAGATCCTACCTCACACACACAAAATTTACTCAAAATAGATCAGAGACTTAAATGAAAATCCTACGACTATAAAAATTCTAGAACAAAATAGGAGAAAATCTTTGTGAGCTTGGGTTAGACAAATATTTCATGGATATGACACCAAAAACACAATCCACAAAAGGAAAAACTGATAAATTGGACCTCATCAAAATTAAAACCTTTTGCTCTTCAAAAGATACCACGAAGAAAATGAAATTATAAGTCAGGGTAGGAGAAATCATTTGCAAATCATATATCTGATAAAGGACTTGTCTCCAGAATATACAAAGCACTTTTACAGCTCAATAATAATAAGACAAGCAATCCAATTTTTAAAATGGGCAAAAAATTTGGATACTTCATCAAAAAGATATATTAATGGGCAAAAGAAACACACGATAAAATGTTTGACATCATAAGACATAAGGGAAATGCAAATTAAAACCACAATGAAACCATTTCTGCTGAAGTGGTTAGAATCAATAAGACCAACAATATCAAGTATTGGTAAGTATGTGGAGGAATTAGAACTATTCGCATGACTGGTGAGAATGTAAAATGGCACAACCCTTTTGGAGAACAGTTTGGCAGTTACTTAAAAAGTTAAACATACACTCACCATATAACCCAATAATTCCACTCCTAGGATCTACCCAACAGAAATAAAAATATATGTCCACACAAACACTGTGTATCAATTTTCACTGCCAAAAATTAGAAAGAGTTCAAATGTACATCAACTAGCATGTGGATAAACAAAACGTTAATCCTTACAATGGCATATTACCCAAAAATTAAAAGGAACAAACTACTGATATATGCAACAACAGGGATAACCCTCACAAGATTATGCTAAGTGAAAGAAGCTAGAGACATAAGTCAACAACATATTCTATGATTCTATTTATATGAAATTTCTAGAAGAGAAAAAAACTACAGACAGAAAAAGATCTGTGGTTGCTTGGGGCTGGGGATGGGAGCAGGGATTGACCGTAAATAGCCATGAGAGAATTTTTTCTAGTGATGGGAATGTTAGAACATTGGATTATGGCGATGATATACAACTATACCAAGTCATCGATCTCAACATTTTTTTTTAAAAAAGCACTTTTTTGAGGCCTGTGGAGTTAAGTGATTATATTCTACATAACTCTCTGGAGTTTTGGTTTTATCAACACCCAGAAGAATATGAAAATGTGGAATTCCATATTGTTCAAAGTATTTTAAAACAGTGATTTCATATGGTTCAACCTAAATATTTGGAAAACCATAAGAAGAACTGGAGCAGATGAGGCAAGATTAATGAAATAGGAGAAGATACTTGAATGCAACCTGAATGGGCAGAAACTGGCAGAGGGAATTTCTAACTTCAATATGTAGCTGATAACCATTGATGAGACTCAGTTTCCAACCTAACACTGCAGTTCAGTCCCATCTGTAAGCAGTGAGGAGCAGTGAAGACCATCAAACTGGTAACAGAGGGTAGCTCTATAGAGGGGAGTAAAAATAGGATTGCTCAAGGGGCTTCCAATCAAAATTAAAGGTAGAATTTTTACAAGGATTTAAACATTTATTCACACATTACTTGTATAACTAAAATACATACTTTTAAATAAAAGTATTCCATATTCCTAAGATAATTCTAGCCTCACAGTTCACTGATTTTCTCTTGATAGATACCTAGCTAAGTTTTACACATTCAATTGCTTTCAGGGGTGAAGTGGGTAATACTAAGAGACAAGCTGAATGGGTAATAAGAGAAAAGCTTACAGGCATTCAAATTCAAAATTAAAAAAAAAACATTATGGCAATTAAACAAAACATTTCTCCAAATTAAATTTAACTGGCAGTCCATTACTTAGCTCTTTCTCAATTTCAGTGTTTCTCAACTTTTCAAAAACTTTGTCTTCCTTTAATAGATAATAAAGATTTCGAATCTTCCTTAAAGTTACCTGAAATTTCACAACACATCAAATTTTGAGACTAAAACCATTATATTACTGAAAATGTTTTTCTAAACTCAATGGTCAACCACCTTTCCCTAATGCATTTAAAATTACTGCCCCCAGACCTCACCATCCCCTGGAACTGCACCATCTCTGAAATTTAAAAACCAGTATCCTATAAATACAGATTGCCTCACTACCTTATTGCCAGTACACTGAAACCTTTACCCAGCCATCTCTTTACTCGTTTTGTGGACATGCTTTCTTCTGTGGGTCTACTTAGCAAGTCCTGGAAATGACTTTAGTCAGGGGCCTTGAACATTTGTTATAACTGTTTTCTCAAACATTGGCAACAAACTCTCAATCTCTTCCGCAAATATACCAAACCATTAGTAGGTCCCAAAATAAACCACAATCACATACTGTACTTTCAGCATAAAATACCTTTTACCTTTTAATTCTTACTCAAACTTAAACACTGAACCAAGCCACAGCTCCTCAAGAGTTTTCAGAATAGGTTTTCTCCCCACCTCAAACCAAGCCAGGTAGTGTTCTTTCCAGCCCCAAGCCCCACCCCAGCTGCTTCAACTATAAGCATATTTAACATGCTATTTGGAAAATAGCACACTATTTGAAAAATATTTATATTTAATGTTAATAAAGGATTTTAAAACTAGAGGAAGTTCATTTCTTCTTGTCATTTTACAAATCAGTCATTTTAAAACTAAAAGAGTAAGTTATATAGCTATAGCTATCAACAGATCTTATCACAGAGCAACGTGGAGTACTTTCTTGTTTATTCACACCTCAGTTCTTACTATTTTCAACGAGGGAGAATGGGAAGAGAAATAGACTTAAATATTGTGTGAGAGAGGAAGTAAGAGGCATAACAGGTCGAATATTAAGTGAGATAGAAAACAATTTTCATTTTCTTATAAAAAGGAAGTGGTATCTCCACTCCATTCACTACTTGGAAATTCTCTTAGATTAATGAACTCTACTTCTAAAAAGCAAACAGTGCTCCCACACCCCACCAGCAGGAGTATGGGATAAATTGGAAGGATTTTCCTAATTATTCCCCATTTAGTGAACATTTCTAAAAAATGCAGGACTCACTGTATCAAGCAAAGGAGCCAGAAGTTTAGCTTTCATAAGTCATCCCATTACGGTATTTTTAAAAAGCTACATAGAAAGAACAATTAAAAAAAACTTCACTGACATATACCTTATACTGCATCCCACATCCATCTCCTTACCAAAATCTTAATTTCTAACCTGGAATGTCGGAGGCTGTCCTTTTTGTTTTTTGCAGAACACAGAGTGCACTCACAGCCAACTGCATGGGGCTTGGGCAGAGACACATCCTGTTTTAACAGCATGGTCAGAATTTCATAGTTGTTACGGTGAGCAGCTAAAATGACAGGCGCAATGTCCATAGTTGTTGAGTACTCAGGATTCTGAATTCGCTCCATTAGTTTCTGAAAAATATTTATATAAATATTCAAAAGTTGTTATTTGTGTCTTCAAAAAAAACATATTTCTCTGAAGAATAAAATGAAAAAAAAAACGAGAAGGCACAAAGACCATAAGAATTATTTTAAGGAATGTTATAAACATTTTACTGAGATAAAATTGTTTTTGAAACCGCAAAACTTTAATTAATATACGCAATATAATCATGACAGGCAAAATCTTCAATAGGAAACGTTCACACAACTCAAGTTCTGTTTTCCTAAAAAAGAAGTGAGCATATCCAGAGAAATACATTAGGAACAATTGTTTAATATTTACGGATTATGGAAACATGCATGACAAAGATAAACAAGAATTTTAGAAACAGAATATGATGGAAAACAGAAATGTTAAAAATAGGCAGAGCATAAATGCATGAGAAAAACTTTAAAGATTCCTCCTCTATGGCACGTCTTGGCACCCTGAGAGCAACGATGCTACCAGATAAGGATAAGTAGGAAGCATTCATGATTCTGTTTAATTATAATAATTCTCTGCATATTTCCAACAGTGACCTATACTACTCCTGTTATAAATGCTCAAAAACACTAACAATCACAGCTACTACTTAACGAATCCTGGACTGTTAGGCACTTTCCGTTTATCATCTCATTTAACCCGCACAATAGTCTGCAAAACTGAGCATTATGATTCCCATGGAGAAACTGAGGCTCAGAGAGGTTAATGTGCCAGCGTGTGCAGCAAAGGGCGAGGTGCACATCAAAACCCCGGTCCATATTATTACGCCGGGGCCTGCGCTCCAGTCCTCCTCACATGGGCTCATGGCCCAGTGATGACATGACATGGAGAAACCTATTAGCAAATAAAGAATCAGGGTTAAAAAAAAATGATGGACTATTTTATGACTATTGCATATTCTTTCCACTACTTCTCGCTTTTTCACAGAGGTTTTCCTGAAAGTTGTATGATTCTATGGTACAAGGTGATCAAGTTCACAGTGTTTGGGTAATTTTTATTAACGTTATAAAAAAATTAGTGCACACACATTACAAAATATCTGAAAAATATAGACAAGCAGAAAGAAGACTAAAAATACCCATATTCCTACTATCCAAGAACCATTTTACAGTATTTCTTTCTGGTCCTTACTCTACCATACCCCCTTTTAATGACATCTTTGGCATAAATGATTGGGCACCAATGATTAAAAACAATGGTTCCCAAATATTTTGAAGATCAAGGACATTTTACATGATCTCATAAAGTGAGAGCCCAGAATCTTCCAGAAAAAAAAAATTCATGTACAGAATTTGGCACGCAACTTAAAGAAGTTCATAGACAGTATGCTCAAGATATTTTATTTTGCTAATTTAAATAACACTACCACAAACATATTTATGAAAACAGCTGTTTTGAAATTGAGTATTACCTCATTAACATAGAACTTCTGCAGTGGAATTATAGATCAAAAGGCCATGAACAGCTTTGCTCTTGATACATGTTATCAAAGTCCTTCAATAGCTTATATTACCAATAATATGAGAATGTACCCATTTCACTCTTCCAGTTTACTCACCAGACTGGGCATGATCACTCCCAATGTAGGAGTAAAAAAAACTATCATGAAATATTAATTTACTTTCCTTTGAGTATTGGTAAGGTTTACTATTTTCTGACATACTTTTCTTTCCCCCTTTTTTATGAATAATTTATATACTTCCCATTTATTTACTGGGATTTCAAATTAGTGAATTAATTTTAAAACTACAGAGAAATTTAAAAAGTAGCCCTTTCCTCCTTATTACTGGTTATAAATGGGAGAAAATTGTATTCAATTCCTTAAGAGAAAAATGGTCCTCATTCTTACTATGAAGCACACTTAACTAGATGAAAAACACTATTAGAGATAGTTAAGATTAAAGTTTATAATTTCATTGTTCATAATATAATCTAAGTACTATCAAAAAACAACCTGTATTTGAGGGCCACCTGGGTGGCTCAGTTGGTTAGAGTGTGAGCTCTGAGCAACAGGGTCACCGGTTTGATTCCCACATGGGGCCAGTGAGCTGCACCTGAGCTGAGCTGCTGCTGAGCTGCCAATGGGCAGCCGGATGCCTCACCTGGTGAAAGTGCATGTTCCTAACAACAAGTTTGCCACTTGGATTCCCCCATGGGATGGTGGGCTGTGCCCCCCCACAACTAGATTGAAAATGGCAACTGGACTTGGAGCTGAACTTGCACCCTCCACAACTAAGATTGAATAACAATAACTTGACTTGGGGCTCATGGGTCCTGGAACAACACAATGTTCCCCCTACATCAATTCCCCAATAAAAATCTAAAAAAAAACAACAACCTGTATTTGAAAGTAAAAATTTATCAAAAGATAATTACGATAACCAAAGAATAAAGAATGAATTCACTGAAATGGTAAAAAAAAAAAAGAGTATAGAAAATATTTGACATTGCCTGTCTAGAGGTAATAGGGCTGTTAAAATATGATCTTGCTATCACTGGAAATATTCAAACAAAGGCTTTTTTGTTAGACATAAAGTCAAAAGTGTTCTTTCACTGAGTAGATGAAAATTGCCATGGCCTTACAACCCAAGATTCAATCGGCAGCAATTATTCAAATGGTGATGGAATAATATAAGTCAGTAGCTCCAATACCCTGGCACACCCACCCTCCCGCGCCAAGGAAGTAAATGGATTCAAAGGCTAGAAGGTGGACTAGGAATAACAAAATATAATAGTAACTGCAGGATAGATAATAAAAATTAAACAGGATTGTCGATATTTCTGATTCTTTGGACAGGGGCTACATTCTTACGCCCTTTTTCTCTGCTCCTGTTGGTTTCTTACCACCACTTACATTAGTTGGTACTATATTCTGGAGAAATTCACGCTTACACAAACTTTTTAATAGTCTAAATTTGAGTAAAATATTTCAGTTAATTCATAATAAAGTACGCAATTTAGCAGAGCTTTTTGTCATTCTCAGATAATGGCAGATAATCTGCAATTTATAATTCTTTCTTAAAACTATATTCTTCTTCTGAGTATAGCTGCCAGTTTATACTCCCAGAAGTTATTTAAACTGCTTGTTTCACTAATCCTCGTAAATAAAGTTACAATTTAAAATTTTTTATATACAACAAATATCTCGTTGTTAAAGTACATTTGTTAGGTAACATTTTGTTACATTTCCATACAGTTCCTTTTCTATGCATACTTTTAACCTTGGAGTATATCATATGTACAATTTACTAATCTCGTTTTTTTCACTTCCTATATCATATTTTCCATGTTCATAAATACTCTTTAAAAAACTCCACTTTAATATATATGTAATTATTTATATTTCCAATCTTCTATTTTGGGACATTTAGATTGTGTTATTACATCATTTTTTGCATTGCTACAAATGAAATTATTTTTAACATTTTTATCCACATTTCTGACCATTGTAAGTTCCTAGACAAGGAAGCACTAAGTTAGAGAATATGAACATCTTTCTTGTTTATGCCACATCCTTCCAAAGTGCTTTCCAAATCACCCTCCCAACCATTGGTGTTGTGCTATTCCCTTGCCATCAGTGGTTATTTTTTAAAAACTTTTGCCAATTTGATAAGCAAAAATTAGTGTCTTATATTTGATTATCAATAAGGTTTAATAGTTTCCATTTTATTTTCTGAGAATTTTTTTCATGATCTTTTCTGATTTTGGTGTTTTTCATTGGTTTGTCTAATTAAGATTATGAATTTGTGATATTCACGCTGAAAATATCTTTTGCCAGTTATCCACCTGCTTTATAAATTTTGCCTGATGTCTAAATTCCAGAAATTTGAATTCTATACAGCCAAAGGCTGTGTCACTGTGATTTTTGTCTGTTACTTATGGTTGGAAAGTCCTTCCACTCCCAATCAGTTAAACAGTCACCTACATTTTCTTCCAGTTTTACGGTTTCAGTGTTTATATTTAATTCTTAAATCAATGTGGAAAATAATTTGTATTTTCAACTTAACCTGCAGAATATTCCAAACTCAAAATATTGGTCCACACTGACAAAATTATGGAAATACCACTAATTTTTAAAAGGCTTCCTGAAAGCAATATTCATTATTCTTACAAGTGTCTACTTCCTTTAAAGCAATATTTTTGCAGAGTGAAAAAAAAAATCTATTTCTTTAAGGCAAAATAAATTTGGGGGAAGAAAAAAATGGCAATGGGGCAGGAGAACTATTTTTGTTTAGAAATCCAAATTAATAAACATTTAAGAGTACTAACTACTATACTTGGTCTTGAGGATCGTTTTGGTCGATGATTAAGAAGTATATCAACAGCTCCCACTACTTCAGAGTCGATTGCCACCAAAAGTGCATCTGTGGACTTTAAAAAAAAAAAGGTTAAAAATGAAAATGGAGGATAAAAAGGTAAGCTATTTTTACTAATTCATAAATAAAACTCTTTCTAAGACTGAAATGTGTTATATACAGTAATAGTGAATTTTCACAAATTTGGACGCCCAACAGCTCACCGTCGAAGTTCTGTGGGCACAACACGCATTTCTGAGCTAGCAGTAAAGAGTGCTTGACAGAGAAGGCCTTGTTAAAGGAATGGCGTGACCTATGCAATATTTAAAGGGGAAAATTTTTTCAAGTTCTTTACTCTTGAACTTTGGACCAAAAAATTCTTAACGTTCCAAATCTATAAAAGAAACTGCCAAGAACTATTACTACAGGTAAAGGATTGTGTTCACTCATAAAAATGGTCATGAACGCAACCGTGATATAGGTGACAATGGAAAATCCATAAACAAGCGGGAGCCCTCTGTTCTCATCTTGAAAACATACACAGCTGACTGACATGGCACACGCCTGATACTAACATCAGCAATCTTATCAAGTAAGAACCACAAAGAACTAGGCTACCAAGGTCCTTTGAGACAGCATGGAAACGTGACTGTGGAGCTTTGCTCCCAAACTACAGCCCATTTTGAAGTTTCAACTTTGACAGGAGGAAAAAGTACAAGAAGCAGAGGAAATGGGGACTTTTAACTCTTAGTAACAAAGTCTACATACGGTTTTATTATGATCCTTAGCAACTGTGACATCAGGGTTTGGGGTTTCCTTTTGCTTTGTTGTTGTTTTTTAAGGAAAACCATAAAGGCAGAAGGGAAACATGGGGAGAAATCTGAGAAAATGCCATGATTATTTTCAATCTGTACATTTTTTAACTGTTATAATCTTTATCAACCATTTAAATCAATGTTCTCTCTCTTAAAAATGAAACTGTATCAGATCTTTAATATTCTTTGTAGCTAAAAAGAATAAAAGTTTCATCTACTTTATCTGGATATCTAAAAATAGAACTAAGCATCCCCCAAAATGGGTTAGGGGCCACAGTCAACCATTAGGAACCACCTATGTATTCTCACCTTAATGGGAAATTGAATTCATTTTTTTATCCCTTAAAACTTTTAGGGTTCATTGGACTGTAGCTTATTCTTTAAAGTTTAGCATTATTATTCTGCTTTGCAAACATTTCTCTTAGGTTTTTACTGTTTACTTGGTCAGGTGAAGCAAACAAATCAAAAGAACCATGTTTTCATTACTATTTAACATTTCATTTTCGATCTAAAATTTTAACCTATAAAGCTAACTATAAAAATGCCACTGCTCTCAAAGTCAATAACCAGGCAACTCCAACTACCTGAGATATAGCTATGGGTCCAGCTGCAAATTTTCCCTAAAAAAACCATACGATGCCATCACAAACTAACTTCATGGCCATTATTTCCCAGAAGGAACTGCCTCAACCACACAGACTTATGGGTTCTCCATAAATGTTGGCTCTCTGGTTTCCCCAAGTACCCTTCAGGTCTTTACTGAATAAGAGAACAGCGAGATTAAACCCAACAAAGTAGGGAGAAAGAAAATAAAATGCTAAAAGTTGAGCACTGATCAGTACAGCAAAATCATTATCAATACACAGCAGTCTAAGGCCATTTAATGTAAGGACAAACGTGTTAATAGTTTGACTCTATGAAACAAAGTAAAATTATTGCATTCTCAAAGATTCCCACTTACGGTGGTAAAGTTAAATTATATTCAGATACACTATTTAGTAAAAAATAAAGAAAGATTCATGTTAAATCTTTCAATTCTTAAAAGGATAAGCTTCAGGTATAAAGATATTTATGTAAAAAAGTCAGGTAAATTAGGAGTTGCTCTGCATAAATGATATGTTATTTGATAACTCAAAGGCATTTCTGAAAAGAATGTTTTAAATTATTTAAAAATATCCATAGGTATACAATATGTCATTAGTTTTGCTTCCCAATTTCTCAGATATGTGACCATTCCTTATTAAAATCTATTCAATTATATACTTACTATGTATTAATGAGGTTGCTGTCTTCCTTCTTTCCTCAGATTTTTCAACAATTCCCATACTCTCTCCTCTAAGTTCAGAGTAAAAGCTACTTATTTCTTTTCTGAAGCTAAATATTTCACCTTGGTATTCTGTTTAATGCTCTTCTTTCTTCTACAGGACCCTGGTCCTTCATTTGCAGATAGCCCAGTCCTAGCCCTCATCTCCCAAAACATCAGCAACGTCCTTAGACTTTGCTAACTTGACTTGATCTTATCCCTCTCTTACCACTCGTTTTCTTCCTCTCACTTTGTCCAAGTTCTAAAATCTATGCATATCATGAAACTGATGTGAGTTTCAAAATCCAGTGGCCTTCCCTACCTTCATTTTCCTTGATATCTAAGCAACATATTAAAACTGTGTCTGTGGTTTTTCACAATGCTGCACTAGCCTAACTCCTTCAATGAAATCCTTCCCTTCTGATGCCCTTTAGTAATGGAGATGCTGCCCGAGAAACAGCTGGCACCAGCCATGTGCTCCGCTCTGTGACTTCTCCCACTCACGCTGTTGCTCATCCCCACATCCACTACTGCTGTCTCTCTCCAGCCCGACCTCTCCCTAGAGATACAATCTTCATCTGTAACTGTCCACTGGAGACTGCCTGATAACCCAAATAAACATGGCTGAAACCAGAACTCACAGTTCTCTGTCCCAAGCTTGACTTTTCTTCCTCTTTTTCTTTCATCCTCAAGGTCATCCATGTTTAAGATTTCCAAGTCATCCTTCTCAATGCTCCCCTCCAAATTAAACACTCACTAAATTCTATCAATTCTTCCTTCATAACATCTCTCACACCTGCCATTTCCTCGCTATTCTTACAGACACTATTTCAATTCAGGCTTTAACCTCTTCATGTCTGGATTACTGTAAAAACTGCTCACTCAACTACAGCCTTCCCCGTTTTCCATTTTTTAATGTATAATGAACACAGCCACTAGAACAGTTTTTAAAATACCACTGGATACGTCACATCTTCCTCAAAAAATCATTTCATGACCCCATTGTCTATCATATGAAGCCCAAATTCCTTAACCTGGCAATCAGATCATTTTCATCAGTTTTGTTTTATTTTCCCAGATATTTCCCACTACTAACCAACCCAAATATTTTGTTTAAAAAGACTAAATCAATTCACTGTCTCAGGAATACACATTGCACATGCCTTTGTTTACATTCTTCTTCACATCCCCTGCTCCCAACCTATCTACACACTTTTGAGAGTACTTTCAGGTACCAGGTAAAAGCATGGACTCTGGAGCCAGAACCTGGGTTCAGATTCCAGGTCTGTCATTTATAGTGACTTTGGGCAAGTTACTTAGTTTCCTTCTCTATAAAATAGGGAAAATAATAGCACCTATCTAATAGGGTTATTGTGAGGATGAAAGGAGTTGAATATAGTTAAGGTCCCTGGCACACAGTAGTACTATACTCGTATACATATTGGCAGTTATTAGATTTCAAAGCTCAACCTGATGCTCTTCCAAGAAACCTTTCTTGATAGCTCCAATCCACAGTGATCTTCCTTTTCTATGTTTCCAAAACATTTATTGTAAATCAAAAAAGTTAAAGTATAAAACAGGGTTTCTCAATACTGGCACTGTTGAGATTTGGGGCCAGATAATTATTTTTTATTTTTTATTTTGTGGAGGGGGGCTACCCTGGGCGTTGTAGGATGTTTAGCAGCATCTGTAGCTTTTACTCACCAGATGCCAGTAGTAACCCACCCCCCAGATGTGAAAACAAGTATGTCTCCAGGCATTGCCAAATGTCCCCTAGGGACCAAAATTGTCCAGTTGAGAACTAGTGTAACACAAGATAAAACACATACAAACACTCAAAGCGATATACAAGGGTCAAGTGTTATGACCACTCAGCACTTATCAAATATACTTTTGTATTTTTTAATTGACTTGAAATTCATATGTACTTTCCTTATTCAATTAATTTTAATATCCTTTAGTATAGAATTCACGTTTTACTTATTCATTTCCACAATCACACCCAATGGAAGACCTTGGACATTTGTTTATTTATAGATAAGACATAGGTAACCTGAGACAGAACACGGGGTGGAAAAAGCATGGGATATGCAGTCAGAAGATCAGGTTCAAATCTTAGGTTTACCCTTATTTTAGAACTTTGGGCAGTTCATTAAAGTCTATGAGCCTCAGTTTTCTGACCTATCAAATGTAACATCTATATAGGCTGGCTATGAGGTTCACATGTCATCAGATATGTGAACGAACCACTCATACTGCAGAATTATTATATACATAATCGTATGTATTAAGGCAAAAATGATTATTATACCATAACACCTATTTTACCCAGAACCGTCCAGAACTTCCTTTATAACCTTAATTTCTAGGTAACTGAAGCTTATGCCTTTAAGTGTTTAACTTAGAAATTTAAATTATTTTGATGAAAGTTTTCTGCTTTTCAAAGTACTATGTATATTCTTCTTTCTTCCCAAACAGTAGGCACTGAATATAATTTAATTTTTCTTTACAGACTCTGGGCCATTGTTATAAACACTAATTACCACTCTAACTTATAGCTCCCTCAGAGATGATCACATATGTAATGCTGTTGACTCTTTATTAAATAGTCGAGGTACCGTGCCTTGTTTTGTTCCACTACAGCCCTCATGCCCTCTGTTGTCCCTCTGATTCTCTATGGATTAGAAAACTAAGTAATTAAATCTCTTAAAGTGGCATCTAAAATGAGAAAAAAAAGACTTGGAGGGAGGGCCCCAGAAATACTCCTCTGACTAAAGTTCATAAACAGGAACTTCATGTCATTTACTCTGGCTGCTCAGGTATTTTGTACTTACTTTCTGGGTCTCGCCAGTGTTATGGATAACTGAAATTGCTAGGAAAACAATTTATTTTTCTACCCTAAATATGTATGCATAGAGACGTTACCATATGTTGCAACACACATATATATAATAGAAATGTACATAGAAACAACCTACTTATATTTTTAAATGTTCTGAGTGCTTCCTGATGTCACTCAAAATATACATATATATATTATATATATTATATATATTATATATACATTAATATAATATATATATATTATATATAAAACTAAATTAAAGCTACAACAGAGCAAACATACTATTCGAAAAAAAAAAAAGAGTCAGAATTTATGTGCTAAGTCCCATCACAGGCAACTAAAAAGGAAGGGACAATCTTACTAAATTTCCTTCAGAATCTCGACTAAATTCTGTCAAGACTTATACGCATGCCTGCTTTTTTTGCCTGAACTGATGAAGACAAGAAAGATTAATATTTTCAAGTTTTAAAAACATTCACCTTTTGTTATAAGCAAACATTAAATTTCAGGCAGAAAGAAACATTTAATAAAACTTAGGAGAAAATCAGTCAAATTTGAAAGTAATTTTGTGAGTCAGGAGCATTTTGTTCTTATGCTTGTAAATTATATGGGTCACAGAAAAACCTGTTCCCCTGCCGCTTCCAGAACACTTGTATATTCTTAGATATATAATATTATAACAATATAATCAAAACAAAGTCTTCTTTAATAAGTCATAATTTTACCTCTGTCAGATGTTGTAAAACATATAAGGGGGAAAAGTGAAAGATGGAAGGAAAAAAATAAATCAAGTCAAAACATTATGCTTTTTAAAAAAGGCTTTTGGTTTGTTTTTAAAACTCTTCATGGCTCAAACCTAAATAAAAGGTGAAAGAGAGAGAAGAAAGAGAGACAGAAAGGAAGGGAGGAAGGAAAAGAAAGAAGATAGGGGAAGAGGGAGGGAGAGAGGAAACTAGAATGAAGAAAACATGGCACATCTAACAGTACTTAGAAGCTACTGGATCAAATTTTCTAGCCTTGTACCTGACAACCGTAGTCCAAAAGAAGCTGCAGTATATCCAAGTTTTCGTTTTCAATAGTTATGGTGACAGCGTTTCTCCCAAGCACATCTATGCAATTTATGTTCAAGTCACCTGAACTGTTTTCCTCCAAAATCTTTTTAACCATATAATAGTCACCTAAATAACAATACACAAACAATTTATATGCATGACATATTAAATGACTGTAAAGAAAATTAGCCTGTTGATTTAAAAGGTTAAAAAATATACTCATTTTTGTATATGGAAATGTGCAAAGAAAAGGTGAACATTCCCTTGCTGAAAACTATATCCTGATAAAATAATATTTACATCAGCTGCAAACATAAAACATGGAATAACTTTAATATGCAGTTTGAATAAGGTTGTTGTTTAAAATTCATAACTGAATGATTATAAGGAGAGAAACATTTAGAAGATATTTGAAGTAATAAAGAATGCCCAAAAGCACAGACTGGAAGCTAGAAAAATTAGAAGCTTAAAGGATTTGTTTTACATCTCACATACATACACACATTTACCTGCACATCATAATGGTTAAAAATGAGATCTAGGGCCGGCCGAGTGGTGCAATGGTTAAGAACTGGCTTGGGACGCCAGAGGGTCCCGGTTCGGATCCCACATATGAGGGCCAGTGACACTGCCCTCTACAGCTAAGATGCTGAACAACAGCTCAACCTGGAGCTGGGCTGGCCTGAGTCACCCGCGAGGTAGGCTGCAGCCCCTGCTGCAGTGGGTTGCCATGGGCTACCGTGTGTGGCCAGCAGCCAGCGTGAGTGGCCAGCAGCCGCAGTGAGCGGCAGTCCAGAAGCCGGCGACTGATCTGCCTCGCCTGAGAAGAGCGCAATGATGATGCCAACTTGGGCCAGTGAAGCAACGTCCTCCACAACTAGACTGAAGAACAAAACAATAGCAACTTGTCTGTTCCCCTTCCCCCAATTCCCCAGAGCTGTTCCCATCCCCCAATTCCCCAATAAAAATCTTTAAAAAAAAAAAATGAGGGCCGGCTGAGTGGCTCAGTTGGTTAAGAGCTCGATCAAGAGTTTGAGCTCTGAGCAACAGCGGTTTGAGTCCCGGCCCGAGCCGAGCAGCCGCTGAGCTGCCAACAGGTGGCAGGATGGCTCAGAAAAAAAAAGAGCTCTAATAAGGGTATTATGAAGAGATTTTGCATACTTTGGAAAAGCAGTGTGAATGTGTGCATGCTTGAGAAAAGAGTGCCTGAAATTCCTCTCCTCTCCTCCCCACTACACACACACACACACACACACACACACACACACACACACACACACACCCATCTCATAAATGAAGCTGTTTAGATTAAATGACCTAGGGAACATTCAATTCACAAAACTCGAAGGCAGGACTACGATTAATGCTGGTAGAGGCCAAGGTCTGAATATTTCAAAGTAAAATTTTGACCTGTCTGGAGCATGCAGATTTCCTTCTGCCTAACTCTAGCCCACATTGAAACAGTTGACTCCTGGGGGGAAATGAGAATAATTAAGGAGATAATTATTTTCATGAAGGGCCCACTACATTTGTCTGCTGACCAGCTGATGCAGGTTAAAAGGGAAATGCTAATTAATAGACAAAGAAAGCAAAGTGGGTTTTGTTTGTTTTATTTCATTTTACTTTTGAATAAACCATTTTAAGTGACTTGCAAATATATCAATAGTTGTTCCTCAAGACATCTATGAATAAGAAACAGGAAAAGAACAGAGTGGAAACCAGATGGAAAAAGAAATTAATGATTTCATGATACAGAAAAAGTAAATCCTAAAACTTGAGTAAATGAGTAAGAAAGGTAAAAGATTTTTTTTTGTTAAAATTTCAGATCAATTTGCTATTGCTTTTAACCAATGACTTTAAAGTCGCCACATATTTTAGAAGAAAGTGAATGGTAATTTTTTTGATGGTGCATTTCCTTAGTTCCCTCAAGAAAATTGGTCAGAAAAAGAAATATTTTCCTCAGACCACTACTAATTAATATTTAGACACTAATGCTCCTTAGCAAAAACCTTCCAAACATTTCACAAAATGAAGCTTAGTCAAAAGCTGAACCAACAGTGAACACAGAGACCAGTGAAAATGATTCACTATTACAGGAAAACAACATTTAAAACCTTATTTCAGGTGAATTTATTTCAATATCTTAGTAGAATACTGCCCATTAAAAATGCTATATTTTCTTGGATTTCATGATGTGGCTAGTCAGGGGTCGGCAAACTTTTGAGATGGAAGAGCCACCATGGGTCAGCAAACTGACTCACGAGCCACATGCGGTTTTTTGGGTACGTACATGTGGCTCTGATGTAAAATTGAAAATGAAAATAAAACTATCATAGTTTTATTTATAAAATTTTTAAAGGATATTATTCACATAATGGTGATTTCATTTGTTTTATGGCTCTCAATAACTTTTAAATTGCTGTGAGGGACAGAATTGGCTCTTCCAGGGGTCGGCAAACTTTTGAGACGGAACGTACCCAAAGAGCCACATGTGGCTCATGAGCTGCAGTTTGCTGACCCCTGTCTAAGTGAAGATTAATTTTTCATTTATCCGGCCTTAGGACTCATTAGGCTTTCTGAATCTAAGAAGTGCCCTTCATTAATTCTGTAATATTTCCAGCCATTATCACTTCAAATATTGCTTCATCCTCACCTAATTTTTCCTCCTATTGGAACTTCTATTAGACATTATGTTGGATTGTCTCATTCCAACTTGTGTCTCTAAAGATTATTTTCCTCTTTCTCTTTCCTGCATTCTGGGTTAATTTGTTCAGATGGCTCTTCTAGTCACTTATTCCTCCTTCAACTATCTACTGATTAACTCATTCATTGATTTTTAAAAATACTTTTAATGACTTCTTTTATTTTTATATGTTTTATTGTATTTCTTTCTAAATCATTTTATTTACTTTCTCATGTTTTCATTTCCTTATTTTAAGCTTTTAGTCATTTTAAACATGTGTATATTATCATCTCTATATGATAATTATCTGAAGGTCTTAGGAATTTAATCCTATTTGTTTCATCCACTGACTTGTAATAATGGATGATGGCTTTCTAAATTTTTAAATTGGGTATTGCAAACTCCTCTTCATGCAACTTACCTGTGGGAATCCTGGCAGCCTAGTTTGAATGCTTATCCCGACAAGGATGCTTTGTGTTTGCTTCTTTCAGGTAACTCAGAGGTTTTGCTGCCCTATGAATCTTTTTAATATTAATTTCTCAGTTTAGGTTTCCCCAGACCAAAGAGGCAGGACCATAGTTATAAATTCTTAGGGGAGTTTTACCCACAAGCTTCTTTGTAGTCTTCTTGTGCTGGCAGACGGGTTGTTTTCCTCATGTAACCCTTGCTAAAGGTACAGTCCTTTAAGGATCCTGCTTTTATGCTTGGATATTGTTCCAATTTCCTACTTTGTAGAGACTCAAGGCCTTGTAAACTATTTCCATGTGAGCATTAAAATTCAAATCCCTACAATGTTTGGAACAATAACTCTATACCCACCCACGGAGCAGCCAAAAATGTCAGCTTGCACACTCCTCTGCTTTTTAGACTTTACTCCATTTTTGGATCCTGAGTGTTTCCCTTACTTTCTTGAAAGCTCAGGTGTTCATTTAAATGGATGTTTGTTATATTTTAGCTAGGATTTCTAAGTGATTTGAAGCAGAAGGGAATTCAGATTATTTAAGTCAGCCATATTGTTAGAGACAGAAAAGTATAAAGAACAGTATATGGGCCCACCGAGTGGCTCAGTTGGTTAAGAGTTAGTTTAAGAGTGCGAGCTCTGAGCAACAGGGCCACCAGTTCGATTCCCACATGGGCCAGTGAGCTGAGCCCAAGCTGAGCTGCCGCTGAGCTGCCAACAGGTGGCAGGATGGCTCAGCTGGTGAGGGCAGCCAGATGGCAACTGGCTCCCTCCACAACTAAGACTGAAGAACAACAACTTGGCTGGTCCCCTCCCCCAATTCCCCAATTAAAAAAAAAAACTAGTGTATAAATATAAATTCTTATAAAGCTTTATAAATTTCAGGTATCACAAATGGACAAAAACAACTGCGACACATTTTAAAAGTGTAGATTGCTGGAGTGGCCGGTGAGCTCAGGTGGTTAGAGCACAGTGCTCATAACACCAAGGTTGCCAGTTCAATTCCCAAATGTGCCGCTGATATCGCCCTCCACAACCACTGGGTTGTCAAAAAGTCATGACACATTTTTGCAATGAAAAACAGAAAAAACACGTCATGACTTTTCCAACAACCCAATAGATTGAATCAACTACTTGACTTGGAGCTGATGGGTCCTGGAAAAACGCCCTCCACAACTAGATTGAAACAACCATTTGACTTGGAGCTGGTGGGTTCAGGAACAACACATTGTTGTCCCCCAAAATTAAAAAAAAATAAAAAGTGTAGATTACTTTTTAAAAAGTAATTGTATTGTAAATGTCAGATGTTCCAGCCTTAAGTTTTCAAAGACTATTTCTTTTACTGTCAGGGAACTAACTATAAGGGAGGTGGGGGGGAAACCTTAAAAATAAAATAATTGCCACCTCTAAAAATAATAAAAAGTTCCACCCTGCCACAGCTGACACACTCATGCAAATGAAAAATTACATGTTATAGTCATAGGACCTATATGAAATCTAGACTGATTTCTAAGCATTCCACCAAAGTTTATATTTGCAAGTCATTTAAAACAATGTACTGTATTAAAAAACCCCAGAACAGGGCCGGCCGAGAGGTGCGTTGGTTAAGAGTTGGCTTAGGACGCCAGCTCTGAGCAGCAGGGCCCCGGTTGGATCCCACATTAGGGCCAGTGATGCTGCGCCTTCTACAGCTAAGATGGTGAACAACAGCTTGACCTAGAGCTGGGCTGCCATGAGTTGCTGATGGCGTAGGCTGCAGTGGAGCTGCAGTGGACTCCCGTAAGCTACTGTGAGCTGCCGGCAGCTGGCGTGAGCTGCCAAGAGCCGCCATGAGCAGCCATCCAGTGGCCGGTGACCGATCTGCCTCACCCGGGAAGAGCGCACTGATAATACCAACGTGGGCCAGGGAAGCGACGTCCTCCACAACTAGACTGAAGAATAAAAAAGAGAGCAACTTGTCTGTTCCCCTTCCCCGATTCCCCA